TGCAGTGAAATGACAGACTTGTCTCTAGTGGTGCCAGACTTCTCCAATCATTTTGTCTGTTTAAACCCCGCCCCTTTCTTACAGTCGCATTCTCTCATTCAGTTCTGCCTCCATCCAGTGAACAACTGATGGATAGAACAAGCCCTACATTTTAAAACAAAATTCAATAATTTGTTTTACTCTGATACATGCTGCAGTGCGGAAGGAAATATTTATCTTCTTTCCATGCAACTTTAAAAATTTCCAGTAACATGAAATCCAAAAGTACTTTGTACTTTATTCATTAATTCATTAATTAATTAATTTATATTCCAGGAAGAGATGATGGCTCAGCAGACTGTATTGTATTCTTCGGGTTTGCAGACATCTTCAGAATAAGCACAATGGTTGTGATGGAGAACACTGGGCAGCAGAAGCTACAGAATATGGTGGCATATTGTCAAAATGTGGACCGGTGAGTCAGAATACACAGGATACGCAGGATACCACTATTGTTGGTTTCTGAAACTAAGGCATTTTCTGCCTCGTATACTAAGCGATTTTTCGTGAAATCTGTCAACTTGTCATCAGACTGGCTAGACTCCAGACTGCAAAACTCTGGGCAAACGTTGTGTCGTGTGTTCCAGACTTTTAACACTACTTCAGCTTCATGTGGCCTGTCAGTTATATGACTGCTTAAGGGTTGTATTTTTTTAAGACATGACTCTTGTGTGTGCATATAGGTGTCGTCGTGCTATGATGGCCATTCATTTTGATGAAGTTTGGAATGATGACGAGTGCAACCAAATGTGTGATGTCTGTCGGCACGGCAACGGTAAGAGTCTCTCACACACGTTTCTACCAACCTAACTCTACCAGTTTTTGTCAATTAGGTGAATTATTCAATGGTGAGATTTTTTTTTTCAGACTACATCACAATGGACATCACCAAACATGCTCGAGATGTTGTTGCGATAGTAGAAATGGCCAGCTCTATGGATGAAAAGTTGACCCCTCTGAAAGTCTGTGACGCTTGGATGGGAAAAGGGCCCGCTAAGCATCGCAAAACGATAAAGGTCACGTCCCTGTCACGCGTGGAAGTGGAGTCTATTATCATCCACCTTTTGTTGCATGGCTACTTCAGGTATTTTTATATTTGATAGCTTAAGTACAATTATATTAACTACTTTGTATTTTTAGTTTTGTTCTTTAACTCTGTTCTCTTTCATTCATAAGTGAGGACTTTAGCTTCACTCCCTACACAACGCACTTCTACTTGAAGTTGGGCCGTAAGGCAGCTCTCCTGAAAAATGGCAATCACTCCATCACTATGAAGATGAGGAGAGTGATGTCACACACTACTGTAAGAGTCCACAAATTCAGCAGACGTTTTCATATTTCATGTGCAAGTGCTCCTGTTTTTTTCAATGATTCTAGCTAATTCTAGATTTAAGCTTTTCTTAATGGTTGTATGAGTGTCAATACTTTCCTGAACTTCTTTCAGTAGTGACAATTGGCCATATTCAATCCAAACTCTGATTCTTTTATTTGTTTAATTTATGCTACTTGGTAATACAAATATTTATTGTGTTTGCTCAATTCTAACTGAACATTTGTTTAATTCAGTGTTGTGTATCAAATTTGAGAGTATATGTATTGAATCTGGCCTTTGGTCTCTGTTCTGTAGTATTTGCTGATCTTTTGTGTTTATCTGTACCTCTTCCAGTCTTATTGTGTTTCAGGTAGATGCCATCAGAGTGTTTGAAGGCTGCATCACAGTTCACTTAGTTAAAATGCTTTTTAGTAATTAGCAACTAACACATTTATAGAGTGTTTGCTTAGTTTGATTTCCAACATTGTAAAGTTAACCCCAAACTACAGTGAGCTAATTTTAAATTAAGGAAACACAATTAGTTACTGTTTTTACACTATTAGTTACAATTGATTTATTTTAGACTTATACTGGAAGTTTTCTGTGCCAGAGATCATACTGTATTCTAAACTTCTCTGATTAGAAAAGCTTGAGAAGGCAGAGAAATCAGAGAAAACCGAAAAGAATATCTCCAAAAGAATATTGTCTCCAAAAAGCGAGGGATTTCGGAATATCAATGTGGCCCAGTTGATGCAAAACCAAATTGGACTTCCTTTCAGTTTAAATGGCTCACAGATGATGCATTTATCACCCTCTAAACAACCCTGTCCCAGCAGTCATTGTGGAGTTGGATCAGCTACAAACAGCGTCCCACTGTGTACATCATGTAATACAAGCCTTTTCCCATCATGAGTGAAACCTCTTCTGTTGAGGGTGTCGCTTCAGCTACATGATCCCTCAACATGTAGTAACCCCTTGTATCTCTTGTGTTCCTACAGTTTCTAGTGCAGACCTATCCAAATGACTTTTTTTATAGTGCCCACCAACAGGTAAAGAGCTGTTGTGCTGCCCCACAGGTAAAGAAAGTGTCAGAAAGTGCTGGGGAGAAAAGTAGCGCCAAAGTAGAAGGAAAAAGACTGGCTGACAGTGACAACAGAAAATCAGGGGCCAAGAAAGTCAAGACTCTTCTCTAGTTCGTAAGGAGAAGAACTAAAAAGTACAGTTCATTTATTCCATATTCACAAAACAAAAGCATGTAGACATTGCCTAAGAAACATTCAAGAGTTTAATGAGGGAAACATCTACCACTTTCTCTTTTTTTCCTGCTTGTGCTCATGTTTATGATAGTCACCTATCATGATGTTTATTGCATTCACCTCAAAACTCATATATTATTTCTTGGCTATGAAATATGCTTAATATATTCCATGGTGTGTTGTAGACAAAATTAACATTACAATTGAAACTAACCATCTTAAAAGGATAGTTCACCCAAAAATGAAAATTGTCATCATTTACGCACCCTTAAGTTGTTCCAAACTTGTATGACTTTCTTCTGCTGAACACAAATGGAGATATTTTGAAGAATGTTGGAAACCAAACAGTTAATGGTAACTATTGACTTCCATACTGGGAAAAAAAAATACTATGGAAATTGATGGCTACTGCCAACTGTTTGGTTACCAGCATTCTGAAAAATATATTTGTGTTCAGCAGAAGAAAGAAAGTCATACCGGTTTGTGAAATGTGGAGGGTGAGTATGTAATGACAGAATTGTCATTTTTTGGGTGAACCGTGCCTTTAATGTTTTGCATGGGCCTTTTGCATTAACTCCCTCTCTAGTTCTGCATTTCTCTTAAAGACAGCTCTATTAGTAATAAAAATTAGTAATTTCTTCTCTTTCCTCAGGATGAGACACAAGAGGAAGTTGAGACAGCCTTGATTGATGTGTCCAACATGGCTGTTCAGAGGCATAACAAAACTAAAATCCATAAGAATCACCAAAACATGGAGAAGAGACTTGCTCAAAACCACATTGAAAGTCTTGCTTCGGAAGCAAGCGAGTATGTAAAGCCAACCTCAGTATTTGAGGTTGATGTCGAGGTCAACCTCGTAGAAGGACAGAACTGTGCAAGTGAAGAAGAGAAAGGTCTTAAAAACTCCCCAGAACAGCAGTCTTCATCACCGAAAAGGAGGCAAAAACAACCGTTAACTCAGAACTGTGCTGCTAATGCTGACCAGACGAAGACACATCTGGTTAGCGCTCCTTCTGAACTCTCTATCATCTCTGCAGCTGCTGTGGAGGAGCTACATCATCTGCGCAGTTACTATAGCAAACAGTTAAGACGGATCAACTGTATTTCCCATGAGCACTTGCAAAGCTCCCAGCCTGGGATGCTGACGTGTATGAGAGAGCCCTTCAAAAGCCTCCGTTTCCCATTGAGGACGACCATAGCCAGAGGTGCCAGAAAATTATGGACTCGTGTTAGTATGAGGAGAAAGCTCATACAGTGAATTATGTTCCTTTTGATTTCTGTTGTGTAAACCTGACCTAATTTTTTCCCCCAGTAGTTTGAAGATGTAAATCTTTTTGTTAAATAAACTTATTTGGTTGATTCTGACCAGAGTACTTTTAGACCTCATGTTGTCAAAGTTGTAACTGCTACTAGTTGTAACTGCTATTGTGGTTATTACAAAAACAAAATTCCCTCTAAAAGGTGATAATTACTTAAATTTTACCCTCATATTTCACCTCTTTCTAACCACTGTGATTAGTTGCCAGATTTGATTTGATAAAACTTGATTGGTTAGGATTTTAGAGTCAATGTCATTTGGTGTCATTTATACAGCAAGCCTTCCTTCAATAAAAAATCACCAAAAGATCAGTGACAGAAAAATATAGAAAATATTTGAAACAAGTATTGTTAGTATCGTTTTCTTTTGACTTTTGTGTCAGCAATGCATTAATAGCAAATCCTCAATGGTAGTTACCTCCCACTTGAGATCTAATAGGCCTACAGGGAAAGGGGTTTTGAAAATGCAATTTACTACAATTATTGTGAGTAAATGTTAATGAAATCTTACTTTGGATCATACACAAGTTGACAGAACTAGTCTACCATTCAAGTCTGGGATTGGTAAGATTTTTTTGCATAGTTTTTGAAAGAAGTCCAAAGCTGAGCATAAGGTATTATTTGATCAAAAATACAATAAAACCGGTGATAATGTGAAATATTACAATTTAAATTAACCATTTTTATTATAATCAATGAACTATTTGTTTTTCAGCGGCCATTACTCCAGTCTTCAGTGTCACATGATCCGTCAGAAGTCATTCAAATATGCTGATTTGGTGCTCATTTATTATTGTTATCAGTGCTGAAAACAGTTGTGCAGCTTCATATTTTTGAGGAAACCGTGATACATTTTTTTCCAGGATTCTCTGGTATATAGAAAGTTCAAAAGAACAACATTTATTTTAAATAGAAATCATTTAGATTATATATGTCTTTAATGGCACTTTTTTTTTTTTATCAATCTAATGCACCCTTGCTGAATAAAAAAATAATATACAAAAACAGACTATCGGAACCACAGTGACCACGGACTTTTATTTTGAAACGATTAAGCCCGAACAGATCATGTGCATTTGTTTGTACTGGATGGGAAGTGTTGCTCAGATATGATTTGTTTTAGCTGCTGTTTAATAGATTGTAGTCGTTAGTCTGTAGTTGAAAGGCCATGCGCTCGGTCAGTTATGTGCAGCGCGTGAGTTTAGACTTCACAGGAACAATCTTTCCTCACGCCATCTGTCTTGGAGATGCAGATAACGACTTGGTAAGTTCCAAGTGTTTGCATGTGTGACAGATGTTAGTTTAAATGACTCGGTTTATCATCATAACTGCAGCCATGTCATATGACTAGTATTTTTAGGGCTTTCATATTCACTATTATTTGATATTGGCAAATCAGATGTGGTTGTTTTTTCTGCAGTTGAATGAGCTGGTGGTGGGAGACACTAGTGGGAAGCTGTACATCTATAAAAATGATGACTGTAAGCCCTGGATCACGAGGACATGTGTGGGCATGGTGAGGAGCATGACCATGTAGTTGGTAAATTATGAATAATGTCATGATGAATATATTTGATTATGAAAATTAATGATGCTGTGTTTATTCCTAGTTAACATGTGTTGGAGTGGGAGATGTTTGCAACAAAGGAAGGGTAAGACTGTCTTTCTCTCTCTTCTTCCCTCTACAAGGGAAGGGCTGGTGGTACCATGGTATAATGATGGTTTTAGCTGATAAAACCATTGTATTGATTAGTGAACACTGCATTCATGTAGGTATTTACATAGTATCAGTTAAGTTTCGGATATTATTAATACATTTATTCAATAATTTATTGGTAAGGGAGTGAGACCAGTAGATATTATTAATACTGTTATATATCTTATCTCTATATCTATGTCTTATATAAATATATTAAATCTATTGATTATTTACATTACTATTTAACATATATTAATATATAATCAATTAATTTAAATCAATTAATTTAAATAATTGATAAGTGTAGTTTTTAATTAATGATCAACATATAATATATATATATTATTTATTTATTTTTGGTCATTACCTTCCAGATTTGTTTTTCATAACTACATTTTAAAAAAACATTGTCATGCCATGGTTCTTTTTTCTTTTTAAATAAGTGTTATTTTGTTAGTGTTACATCTTTCATACTTCATACTCACATTTGTAACATGGCTTTGTTTCTGCACTGGCAGAACTTTGTTGTGGCGGTTGGTGCGGAGGGCTGGTTTCACCTGTTTGATTGATAT